AGAAAATACAAAATATGTGAAAGAATTAGTTTATCTATGACAATTAAGAAGCCTTGTAGACGTACTGAATTGAAATTACTTTTAAATGCTCAGTCAGTTTTTCGGCGGAAAATAAACAGATACTACTAGATTCAAAATCAGTTGCAAAAGTCCAATGATTCTATTCAATCTATAGCAAAACAAACGAAACTTAACAAAATAACAAAATGCCTCACAAGGTCATTACTATAAACCTTGTCAAAGCTGTCGGAAACCCGTGAGAGAGAGACATGTCCTTATGAAAATCCGACACATTTTCAAATGATAATACCCAATAATAAAAACTGGAGTATAAGTCGCACCAGCCAGCTTGTACAACATGTACATTTTCAGTGGTACAGGAGTAGCAGATAATCGTACACAAGCCTAGAGGGCCCTCTAGTGGATGTCAGTGTCAAAATAATGAACATATGAAATGCTATATTTTGATATATAAGTCGCACCTGAGTAAAAGTCGCAAAGCCAGCCAAAGGATGAAAAAAAAAAAATCAATTCCTTATGATATTAACAAATGTTGGGCTGCCCGTGTCACCTGACTTTCAGAAGGAATCTTCAAAACGATTTCCTATTTATCGCCCTATCGTTCCTTTCTTACAGATACAAGCAGGAAAGTTGCCTACGGCTCCGAACCACTACGCGGCATCTCAAACTTCCAGTTCCTATAGGACACAGTGCGCTGACACAAATGGCACTCCCGAGCTGAACTGTGAGTGAGGACCTCATACAAAATCAATCACCATCAGAGGAGACGCGTTCCACTGAGGCTGTGACATCGATCATTCACCACAAAAGCATCTGCGAGGGCCTCAGTCACTTCGACGTCTACGACCAAGGTCTACGCTGACTCGGGAAAAAAAAAAAAAAAAAACCACGGCAGCGAGGACAAAAAGGATAAATGTAGGGAAGGCGAGGAAAAAAGTGTTGAGAAGAGAAATGGGAGAGGGAAAAGGAAATTCCCTGAAAGGATTCTCAAGAGAGAATCACAGATCAGAGACCAGTGACCTTGTGGTCGTACGACGACCCCTCTGACAATACACCAGGTGACTTTACTCTCCTGGGAAGGAACACACACCCGCACAGATGTTCACATTCACACAGCTACTCCCAAGACTTTGCATTAACTTCCATTCATTTTTAGAGATCTACCGCAAACTACTGCAATGGGGGCCATATATATATATATATATATTTTTTTTTTTTACATCATCTAAATTTCTTTCCATGAATTAAATTTTTTTCTGTTGAAGTAGATCCTGTATGTTTATGAATCACAGTGTAATAGACCATCACCCAGTGCATTTTTGTTTGCCTTAGAGAATGTGTGGTGGATACTGATCACTGCTGCCGGTTGTAAATACAAACGTGTTACACAGTTTTATCTGAAAGAAAAGAAGAAAAAAAAATCTCCCTTTTATTCTTAATACTTTAAGACAGATATTTTAAAAAAGAAAAGCTTACCAAGTAAATTTTTTTTTTTTTTTTTAAATAAGGCAGAACAGGAACAGCTCACTTCATTCACACTCTTGATAATGAATGAAACTTGAACAGAGTGGAATGGGAGTTGTTTCAGTGAGAGCTCCTGGATAATTAATGATAATTAATGGTCATTATCTCCATATAATGAGGCCTCGATACTGTATGTGAGTGAGCCTCATCTGACTGAGAAAGATTTATAACAGCTGATGATTATTAAACCGCGATACCTGTACAGCTGATGTCAAATGTGTGTATAATTACACACATGTATATATATATATATATATATATATATATACA